ATATATATATATATATATTATTTTAAATATTTCTATGGAAAAGTTTATTATTGATTATGTATATAGGGTGATTCATTTATCACGATCCTCTTACTTAGTCTTAAAATAAAATTAATATTAAGATTTTTTCTTAAATACATATGTACTTTAGTGAGATACTATTTCTGAATTGCTTTTATTTGCGGTAAAAACTCAACTTTAGATTTATGTTAAACTCTTCTTATGTCCGTGAAATTATAAATGTGTTAAAGCTTTCATGGTTTGTGGTATTATTTAAAATATTTACAGATATTCGCACATCTTCAGCGCAAAGATGAACTTTGTAATTATAAGGTAAACCTAATTGGTTTTTATATCGGTAATCGATTGATAATCGATAATATTAATACGATTATTTTGTTGATATTGAAATAATTACGATCTCTGTAACTATCACTCAGTAGATTAATTTCTGCAATGAGTTCGAAACGTTAGTACAAAACTTTAGACATGGACATCAAATCTGTAAATATTCTAAATAGCTCACAAAGATATTTACGTATTACAATTTTTCACAAAAATAAAATTATATAAGTTTTATACAGGAAATAAAAATCTGGCAAAATACTCATTTTCTCAGAGCTAATGTAAATTTTAAATTTTTGTAATAAAAAAAATGATTTGGTTAAAAAATTGTACAAAAATATTTAGTAATTTTTTTTTTTTATGAATTCATGGATAAAAATCTTTAAATTTAATTTTCTCAATTGAGATCCTCTTTTTTATCAAGTTAAAAATCTAGATAATGTGGCATCAAAAGGAATTATAAAATATTTTTATCTTATTTTTAGTTTTTATCCATTAAGCTATTTACGTTTTAAGGTTGTTAAATATTTGGATTTCAAATAATAATTTATCATTGGTTTGGTTTTATAATACTGGTGGCAGCAATAATCAGTTTTGGTATCTTATAAATTAATTATCGTAGTTATCAAGAAAACTTTTATCATAACATTCTATTCTGCTATTTTATTTTTCATATCTTAGTTAATTTTTAACAATTTTTCTTTCATATTATCAAGTTAATTATAAGGATTTTTATTTAAGAATATAAAATTTAAGATATTTTAAAACTGAAGGAATGAAAAATAACTTTTTCATCGCATATTTTTGTAAAGTTTATTTAAATAAAATAATTTTTCTTTTACAAAAAATTAAAATTTTCAATAGTTTTTAAGAATCTAGTGTCTTACCAGTTTAGGATTACTTTGTATAGTACATTTTAATGTTACTTAAAATTTATTAGTTATAAATAATTCATTCAAATTTGCAGTAGAATTTTATATAAAGTATTTTTTATATTGCAGCCACTACTAGTGAAAATGAAAATTACTCTAAACGTACAGAAAAAAAAATTGATGTGGACATAGAACTAACAAAGTGTTGACAAAATAATTAATGGATAGAACTAAGAATTTTCATTGTCTAAATACAAATTTTACTTTTTTTTTTTGTAAATGATTATTATTTTGAAAACATTTGATTTTTTTTAATGTGAGAGTATATAAACACTTTATGTTTAAAATTAGAGGAATGTGGGGTAAAACGGAGACATATTAAAGTATTAGATTGCAATCAGTATAGCGATTTAAAAAGTGAGATCTAAAGATTTTTGTTTATTTTTGAGTATTTAAGTTAGGGACAAAACATGGACGGAAAATTATGTTTTAATTACTTGTTAATTATAAAAAAATATTAATTTTAGATGTTTTGTATTATTCTTAGATACTATACATGTATGTTTAAGTACAAGAAATTAATTTCAAGCTAAAAAGTATTAAAATTTCTATCTTCTATCTACTATCTTCAAAAAGTGTTTATAATAAAAGTTTTATGATTATTATGTCAAGTATATCTAAGAATTATGTTTCTAAGTTTAAGTATATGTTGCTGTTGTTGCTAATAAAAAATTTAATTATTTATTATTATAGTAATTTCTTAAAAATATCACGGTTTTTGCGTCCTCATTTTGCACATGTTGGAGTGAACGAATATTTTCTATTTTAATAATTTCAAATATAAAAAATTTTTGCTTGTTGAAGTTGAGCGATTTTTGACTAATTTTCTATTAATAATATATATTTATATTATATATATTATATAATATATATATATATTAAGATCGATAAAATTTGTTGGAATTTTTATGAAATTTTTCTGTTTCTGATAGGTTATTTGACGTTAATTATTCGAATAAGCCCTTATTAATATTTTATTATTTCTTCAATATTTTAGCCACAATTTATGTGTTTGTAAAATTGCGGTTTTTTCATATTAAATGTTAATTAAAAAAAAAAAACATTTTTTTTCATTATCTCTTAATTATATTTATAGTATTATGATTATTTGATGATTATTTATGCAAAATTTGAAACGATTACGTAAACTTTCATAATTAATATGGACTTTTAAAGTTGAGTTTTATAAAATTTTTAAAAACTTTAAGTTGAACTATTCTCTATACAATTTTTTTATTTATATTTACGTTTTTATTATGAATTAGATCGATAGAAAATGTTATGAGGATTTAAAAAATATTAAAATATTGTTTATTGCGTCATATTTAGTCAAATATCAATGATCAGATACGTATATACGTATATATATATATATTAAGTCCAAAATATATCTTGTTTATCATTTGTCCTTCAAGGGGTCATTTGTCTTCCTTTCTGTTTCCCCTATATATTAATAATATTTAGAAAGAATTGTGCCATAATATATTTCTATGTTTTCCGGAAGATATCTAACTCTTTATAAAATATGTTCGATTGATGATTGTCTGAAGTTACATGATAACTTCAATTGTTTTTTAGTATGGTCTAATGCACTAGATTTATCACTCAAACTCTCTAAGTGTAAGGTCTTTACGTTATATAGCATACAGTCTTCGGTTAAGTTTTCCTATAATTATTGAGCTTTAATAATTTTTTAAGCTTTCTATGTCTTTAAAAGTATTGTTTTGTGCTATATCAGACCAAAATTAGAATATGGCTGTATAGAATCGAATCCTTATAATTTTAGTGATTCTTTACAACTTGATGTCAAACGTAGGTTATTGGGTTATGTCAATTATAAGCTCAAAATCCTGTAATATTCTCCTCTGGAATATTACAAAATCAATACCTCTTTTATTTCTCAGACGACAGAAAAGAATACGCTAACAAAAGTATTAAAACAGGAAAGTTAATAAAAAGTAACTGTCTTGCCTTGTTTGGAGTACAGATTGGTGATTCAATATGTCTATAAAAAGTATGACACATTCGAGACGCCCAATCTCCGTTTATGCCGTTTGTGGTACATTATATTTAGAACCCACCTTTAGCTGTTAAGTTTATTTTAAAATTAATTTATGTGGTTTTTGTATACTATATTTTTATATAATTTATGAATTATATATTATTAATTGTACAAATGTAGTACATAAATTTACTAAAAAAAAATTATTTTTAAATTTTATCTGTAATGTTAAAGTTTTACACATGTTATATAATAAATAATTATGCGTTAATACTTCATAAATTAGAATTTTGTTAACACACGTTTAAATATAAATGCGATATTTTTAGGTATGAATATCACAATGAATAATGAAAAAAAATTGATTATTTAAATTAATTTTATAGCACAGTGTATTTTATTACATACACTTATTGACATGAATTTCAAACTATTTGTTTAAACATTGACTTTAATTTATTACAATATCACCTCTGTAAAATGTAAAATTTAAGAAACACCATACTTAAATTATTTAATTGAAGTAGAAGATTATATTGAAAGAAAAAGACTTAGATGGTTTGGTCATGTTATGAGGAGAGAGAAATCGGAATCGGTAAGAACGTTATATCAATTAATGTTTAAGGAAGAAGAGGTAGAAGAAAAACAAAAAAGAGATGGAAGGATGTAATTGAATGCGATATGAGGACGGCTGATGTGAGCGTAGATGATGTGGGTGATCGTATCTAGTGGAAGTTTAGGATAAGGATGGCCGACCCTAAGTAGTTGCGATTGAGGCGAGGAAAAAGAAGAAGAGAATGTAGGAGATTATATGTGTATTCAAAATGGATAGAAATCTATGAAAAACTTATACTTAAAACTTGATTTGATTAGAATTTTTAGTGTTCCAGATTTAATAGAACAAAAACCAACACAGAGTTTGCGACGTGTTTTCTATAACATTGTTTATATTTTAAACTACAAGTGTATGGTACAGAACGCCTTTAGAAGGATCTAGTTGACCAGTTATTACAAAGATCATTGATTATATTATTTCGTGGGACAGCTGATCACCAGCGTCTTGCTTTACTCACCCCCTTGCCCACCCATCAAATCGATGACTTCCGTGTCGGTTTTCATCCATGTACAGTTCATTGTCGTAAGTCAGTCAGTCAATTGTTTTGTGTGTCACCTTTTTCTGTAACATTCAGTCTTCGCTTAAATGGTAAATTGTTCGGCCATTATACGCAGTTATTCTTTTATTTGTTTATTGCACCCATGTGCTTAAAGTTTACGTACCCTTGCACACCACTAGTGATTGGGCCCTGACCATCACTAAACATCTTCATTGCTATAGTCTCTTTTTCGCGATCTGTTCTCATCTGCCATTACGTACCTGGATTTACATTCCGACTCGTCATTCTCAGGTGTTAGACACCATTACCACAAGAACTCATATAGTCCACTCGTCGTTATCAACAACTTCATCTGTTCAGTTGAGTTTATATTATTTTTTAATGTTATTTATTGTTTGTTTTGAGAAAAATAAATCTATTATAAATATTAATGAAAAAGTTGATCAAAACTAAATGTGAAACAGAATATTTAACACACAATTTTGATCTCCCGCATTTTATATTTTTCATTTGTCATGAGATCAATTCAATTTTGATCGAAACCATCAAAGTTCATTACGAGGATCTTAATCATTAATTTCTATATTTATGAAACATTTATTTGGTGTTATAATATAAAATATGATACATTTCAAAGTCTTATATGTGAAAATTACATTTATTTAAGGTGATAAAAAAAATCAGTTTCATTCTTATTTTACTAAATTTATTTTTAGCATAAAAATTGAAATCTATTGAAATCAAGACCATTATAGGTAGTGACCTATTATAAAATAATTGATATAAGTAAATAAATTGAAGTAAATTCAATCGTTACTCAGCAAACTATAATAAACGTATTTAATCGTATAGTAATTTTATTACTTTTATTTTAATAGTACAGAAGTGTTCAAATACTATCTGTGCTGTTCTTTTTATTGTGGCAATATAATATTATTGCTATACATGAGGTTAATGGTCTTGGTGTGCCATGTATATTTAATATATATAATATTATATATTATTTCCGCAGTGTCAAAGTACAGTCTAAACGGCCAGATAATTAAAATTATTCGTCGCCCCTAGAATATACGGACTTGTTATACGGTGAGGAAGACACTTGTAGTGTCTAAAAGTTGTAGGTTAAAATTTTCTCTTGTTTCAATAATTGTTATTTTTTCTCTTATCCATCAATTTTCAGAGTAGTTTTTGATTTTGGGATTTATTCACTATTAAATTAATTTTCAAAATCTAATAATGTCCCCTTAATTCTTTCAATATATCAATTTTTAAATAATAATAATATAATTATTAAATATAGTATAATAATTTTTTTAAATAATCTACATTTTCAGTAGTTAATCTGATGATGAAAAATTATCAGATAAAAGTTAATATTTAAAAAAGTGAATATTGAAGTAGCTTTAATTGTATAGTTATAATTTAACTTATATTTATAATTTAATATTTTTGCAATGATGTTACTTTCAGTAAATTAAATTTTTTATACCTCAATTTAAAACAATCCTAAGATCAAAATTAACTAAACTAAAATTATTTAATTTTTAATGATTTTCTAAATTAATTACTTAAATTCTAGGAAATATGAATGTGTAAAAGCTTACATGGATTGTCTTGTTGCTTGAAGTGCTTGAGGATATATCGATGTTTGCAGTCGAGTTCTGACGTTTCAGACTCATTGCAGAGTCTATCTTCAGAGTTGTTGTATTTAAATATGAAACAATCTTTTTGTTTTAACATAACTTAAAGTTATAATTGTTCAATTATAACGCAAATGTAATTAATAAAGATATAATCAAACAAAGTAAAACATATAAAATAATGGAACACTTAAAACAGGATAAATAAATAATACACAAAATGAAAACTTAATGTCACAAACGTACCACGCGGAAAGAGATTACCTTCGGTACTCCCGAGGTCTTCTCTCCTCTTTCAATTCATTCCATTTCGTCTTATATACTAAAATATTTTGTTTTTATTTTTATAAAATTCATATAGTAATCATTTTAATTTAAGTAATCATGTTCTACTTCTAGGTTTACAAATAATAGACTACATTATATTTTATAATAATAGATCAAGAAGTTCATAATGCAATCATTTTCAAAAATGTTTATAAATAT